GTGTGTGTGTGTGTGTCTGCATGTCTGTGAGTGTGTGTGAGGTGTGAAGGGTGGGGGGCTAGGATAAGTCATTGTTGCTGGGCGACTTCCCTCCGCCGTTGAGTAGGGCCGAAGCGCTGCGACTCTTGGTCGGCGTGCCGCTGCCTGACCGTGAGAGTTCTGTCAGGTCATGGAGGGACGGCTCCCTATACATGGCCACTGCACACACACACACACACAAGAGAAGAATCATTAATTAAATGATAAAAAGTTGTTGGTCTTAACAAAGGTTAGGTTGCCTTTAGAACGACTTTACTGTCAGAGGGGAATTCCTGCAATGCCAAGCTAAGTTTTAAGCTCTGGTGTAATGATCCATAAAAACATAAGTAATGATGATTTGTTAAGAATAAAATTGAAATTATAAATAAAGAGATTTTTCTTTCAGAAAAAATATCAAGTATTTGATATTTTTGGGCACTTGGAGGCAACAGAAACAAGCTATAATGGAATTTTAATACAACTCGCCTTTTAAGTTGCAAGCCTGATTGCAAACGGTTGCCTATTTACACAGCCAGCAGGTACAAGCAACATTAGCATTCATTTGAAGTCGTGTTTGTGTCCATCTGATGAATGTACCATGAGTCCAATATTCACTCTCCTTTTAGATCTGTTTTGCTCTACATTCATTTCTGAGGGAAATATCTGTTGTTCCACTATGTTCACCAGCTTGTCGCGAAGCATGTCTGTCTGCCCTGTGGTGCTGCCTTTTACATACAAATAGTCATGTGATCAATTGTAATATATAATATATTTTTTTGGGAATTATTTCACCTGAGAGGGTGCATTATTTGATTTTAGATATTAGTCTGGCTGGTCTGTCTGATTTGAAGTGATTTCACATATTTTCATGCACCAATCAGACTTAAGCAAAATAATAATCAGAGTTAGAGTCTGATGAAAGTGATGGATTGTTTGCTAACGTTGCCAGGGAGACGCCACTGTCAATCAAATCTGATCAAAGCACACCCACTGAGTCCTGATGAAGCAGATTATTTTTTGAATGTTAAACGTATTAAACAATAATTGAAGATGTTTTTCCTAATATTAATGTTGATTGTTGCTTATTTAATCATTAATATTTAAAGATCCCCTCCAGACATGTTTTAAAGGGCTGGAAAACCTATTTTCTTAATCAGCCTCCTACTACGAATGATGGGACCCTACATCAGCACACTACTTTGATTACTTTTCTCACGATGGTGAAGTTGGCAGGACGCTGCAAAAATGTGATGTCACGTATTTCCATGCACAAATCATTCATCTGTCAAATGTGACAGTTTGTTTGCTTGCGTTGCCAGATCACTGTCAATCAAATCTGATCAAACTACATTTGCACAATCCTGACGAATCAGTTAAACTGAGTTTATGAGTGTTATAGGGCAACTGCACAACAACTGCACATGTGAAAAAGACCTCTGTAGCCCGCTGCTCATCTTGGACAACACCTCTCACCCCCTGCATGAGACTGTGGGTTCCCCGAGCAGCTCCTTCAGTAACAGACGGCTGCACCCACAGTGCAAGAGGGAGCGCTACCGTAGGTCCTTCATCCCAGCAGCTGTCAGACTTTTTAACTCAGCAACAACGTAACGTACCACTGCCTGTCTTAATAACATCTGTCAACACCTACCACAGTCACTTTTGGTTGTTGTTTGCACTACTTGTTGCCGGTACTGTACAGTTCTTACATACATATATAAATATAATTTCTTACATGCACATGTAAACCTGTACTGTATATTCATATATATTTGTTGTCAACATGCCACTACCTCCCGTTGTAACCTGTGCAATATTCTATCTAAATCACATCTGTACATAAAACTGTATATAGTGCACATACAACCCTAATTCTATTTTTTTCTTTATATCTTGTATCTTTTTATGTTTTATTTTGTTATTTAATGTCTATTCATTTTTTTCTTTTGCGCTTATGTTCTATCTGGAGCTGCTGTAACAAGTGAATTTCCCCAGTGTGGAATCAATAAAGTCTATCTTGTCTTATCTTATCTCTGCTTGAGGCTAGTGGCTCGAGGCTACATTAGCCACTCCTGGCATAACACACCTGAATCTCTGACAGAACTGTCTGTGATGGAGTTGTGGTTATTGTACACGCAGAATATAAAAGATGATATCTCTGGTTCTGCTGCATCAATTTTCAACCTTTTTAGTAGTAGTATTGTCCGCTGTGAATCCAACAATGTCATAGCCAATGCTAAATCGGTGGAGTACTCTTTTAAAGGACCAGTGTGTAGCATTTAGCGGTGTAAATCCATATTACAACCCCTTCGTCTCACCCTACTCTTCCTAGCGTGTAGGAGAATCCATGGTGGCCATGAAACTCACAAAAAATGTTATAAGCCCTATCTAGAGTCAGTGTTTGGTTTGTCCGTTCTGGGCTACTGTAGAAACATGGCGGTCTCTGTACAAGAGGATCCGCACCCTCTGTAGAAATAACTAATGAAATAATACCTATGAATATTATGTTACATTTCTGCCAATAGATCCTCCTAAATGTTAAACACAAGGTATTTGTTATGTTTTTGAGCTTTAACTCTGGGTACTGCTAATTTAATTACAAATACCTACAATATATATTACAGAGAAAATTAAAGAAAATACAGTTTTGAATTATAATCTGATATGGTTTTTCAACAACAAAAGTTCAATTAACTACTACATTACACCATCTTCTTCTCTCTTATTGAAAATTCCAGGATCTATTACTATGCAAATATGTTTAATTTTAAAAGTCCATTCTCTCTGTGTGCTGTAAGTTTCTAGTTTCCATCACTTCCACAACTTTAGTCTGATACTGTATTACTAAGGGGTTTAGTGCAGTTATCTCTCCTACTCGTCTTACCTTTGAGCGGTTTCGGTATGAAGTGTGCAGCGGCCTTGTTCTTCTTGACGTGGTTCCCCTTCATGATTCCACCCTCCTTGTTGAGTCCCAAGTACCAGGCCCGACCTGAAGCCTGCTGACGGTACAGCATGGAGGAGTAGGTGACGTAGTAGTTCTCAAACACCGACTCCTTGAACTTACACTCTGGAGTAAAATGTTCCTGAGGGGAAAGTGTGACAGATATGAGAACAAATCACAAAAGAAAGAAGACAAGAAGGTGATTAAGTAGACATGGAGAAGAAAGGGGGGAGTCACAGAAGGTATGAGTTTATAATGGCGACTCCATTAAAAAGTGTTCAATCACTCCTCCATATTGCCATCAGTGTATTCATCCATCAGTTGCTCCACTCTTTGAATCATGATCTCGGCCAGGCTGTAGTCTCCGGGAACAAACTGCACCAACTTAGGACAGCTGACATTTGCATTTCCTTATTCCTGCATCTCCATAGCAACCGGCTACTCCCTTGAATACCAACCAGCCCACTGAGAGAAAGATGGTGCCCAGGTTGCCGGGGGAAACGGAAAGATACAGAAAGAATGCTCTTTCTCATCCATTAATCTTGTATGAATTTTGATTAGGTTTTGTTGTTATGTATAATCTTCAAATAGATTATGTATGAATAAACAGACAAATGTGATTTGTGAGAGTGTTTGGATCTATACGTGTGTTTGTATTCTGCATTCAATATCAGGCGAGAAGATGAAACAAGTGATATCAGTGTTATGACTGAAGCTAAGACAACCCAATGTATTCAGCACTGGACATGATGGGACAGATATTGTGGTGGCATACGTGCCTGCACAGGCGTAGCAGCACGGCTGTTATTACATCGAGGTGTTAGTTTTCATCTTTTGCTCTCGCAGCCTTGTTTAGATTGCTGGAAGTGTTATTTTTGTTGATTCTTTTTTGTTATTGCATCTACACCACCCACCATCGCCGCTCAAGAACTAAAGTGAGGCACTTAATGCACTGCACTGCAGCCAACACTGCCTTCTGACCTGTCTGAGAAAATATATGCACAGTGGGGAAGTATGTGTAAATCTATCAGAGAAAGGCATAAAAACAAATTTCAGGAGCCATGCGTTAATGGATACAAAGTAATCTTCCTATCAAAGAATGACAGAAGGGAGATCAACAAAAGGAGGCTGGAGGATGATCTGTAATCAATCCAGAGAATCCACAATATCAGTAGATAGATAAGAGAGGCTCAGACACTGGATTATAGCACCCAGTGGCAGCTGACTCACAAGGCAATACTGTAGTTGTATTGATGTGATGATAGGATGATAATGAGACTGGTCACACTGAAAGCTGCTGCTTTATTACTTAACCCCGACCCAAAGAAGAGATTTTAGTCTGTAATGGTCTGTAATGATGATGATGATGTGGATGGTGGTGGTGTGTGTCTGTGTGCATGGTGACCTACGGAGGTGTAGAGAAAGCCTTCGTTGTTCATTGCCAGATAAAGTTTGGTCTGGACGCCCTGGATGGCCACCACACGAAGCCCCACTGGGATCAGGTTGAACACAGCTACGTATGCACACACAAACCCACATAAACACACAGAACAAACACACAAGCACACAGCAAACAAACGAGCACTCACACAGTGAACACAGAGGGAAACAGAGAGAAAAATCTTCATCAATATCAGTGTAGCATCTGGTATGATGGCACCTCCATTTTGCCACAGTGAAGCTATTTTACAAGGTCACTCTGGCACTGAGGCCACTGAATTACACTGATGATTTAGCGCCTGATATTACTTATTACTAAGCGTGGGATGAAAAGGGTGAGAATCATCAAATGACACGTAGCAAAGCAAGGTTTGGTGTTCATTTGACAGTTCAAGGATCAGTTTCATAAGAAAAGCGACAGAGCTATTGTTACTAAAAATATTTCTACAAGGGCTACCAGCATTTCTTATTACAGTTTATATTACTTTTCATACCCAAACCACGTCTATAGCCCCTCTTTTAGGTATGAGCTCCTTGTTTTGTCTTAGCTGGTCGAAATCCTATTCCTGCTCAGAATTACTCTGTTCTGTGTCACGTTCACTCCCCTGCATGTTTGTTTGTGTTGCCTTCAGGGCTGTACAATCGCAATATGGCTAAGCACACTATCCAAATTGCAGAAGCTGGAATTTTTTGATAAAGGGTAAAATATGAGACAAAACATTGCGAAGTACTGTAGTTCTGCAGAGATGTCCTGGCTGATTGTAATAGTTTATTCAGTGAAAATGAAAATTGTGATGCAAGAATGATCAATGATCATTCCCACTAGTTGTGAATCATATAGATTTTTTGTAACATAGCGATTAAATATTAGAGGTGATTTACAACACAACAAAATAAAACAATGTTTTTCTCTTGTCACCAGTTATATATTGTCATAATGCACAGCTCTAGTCACAACGTAGTGAAAAATGCTCATCATACTTCCCACACCGAGAGGTGACACGTTCAAATGTCTTNNAGTTTACAATTATGTAAATCATTTAAGAATTTTTCTCAACCAAAGTGACTGAAGCAATGATCTAAACTGCTTCTACCAATCAACTAACTGATCAATCAACTCATCTTTTCAGGATTAATGCCTGTGAATATATAGAGTAGGTTCAAGATTCCTTGACAATGGTTGTTTGCAAGTTTTACAGCATGATTCATAAACACAAGCAACCTAAACAATGTTTGGGCTCAACAATCTTAATCCATGACAATGAATACGACATTAAAGCAGCAGTTTGTCTGATCTAATTCAATGATATTTCCATGCATGTTGCATAGATGAAGGATCTACAGTAGATTTAAAGCTTCATCATTTACAGGCATTGGGTTTATTGAGACATTACATCACAACACTGACACTATCTATCATATTTGTTGTTGTTGTTGTTTTCCCCTGGTTGTTTGCATTCAGCAAAAAAGTTATTTATATGTTTCTACAGTAAAAGCATTGTGGCAGGGACATAATTATTCCGGACAGTTTGATGAGTCAGGCCCTTGTTTAATTATACTCATTTAGCCAACCATGTTCTTTATAATGACTGTGGTTATATTGAGACGTGGATTACATGGATTATCCGTTCAAATCCAGTCACGGTCGACTGGTTTTCGTGTGGGTAGGCGTTTACATGATGAATACACCATGTTATCATCTAATTAAAGAACACACTTCCTTCGTAGCCACGTCTCTCTCTTTGTACACAACAGTTGGTGGCCTGAGGAGTGGCAGAGATTAATGTGCAATGCTGGCAATGACCGAGCACGAGAAGGAGAGCGATTGCCGTCTGAACCACAACAACAGAATTGAATTAGCCGTATCAATCACCTGTCGTGGCGTGTGCGTATTTGTGCGTGTGCGCGAGGGGAAAATTTGTTCACTGGATCAGTTTGACCAAGTATATTTCATTATTTCACCAATTTGAACGTTGCACTGTGGATTCTGTGGCTATTTAATCGATTTCTTTGCCTGGGAAGAAACATTTAACATAACAGATTGCCATGTTGCCATCTGACCTTTGGAGGAGAAGCATGTACCAGTTTGCTAAATGTACACTTGAGATGTTGTTGAGTTGACCCACAACAGAAAAGTTTATCACTAAATTTTATTTAAACTAGTTGTTTAAATAACTAGTGAATATATGGGACTGACCCTGCTAGATATTTAACCTTCAACATGTTGTGATGGTCTATTTGGTCTATTGTACGTTGAAGTAATATCAAAATATAAAGAAAGCCTAATTTCAGTCTCTAATGTGAAGTAATATGTTTATCTTCTTTTATCTTCCTTTATTCTAAAAGCTCTAAAGATCCCAAATTGAGATACTGAGACTGATTCAACCCGTGCAGCTGGTGCTGCTCAAAAAATGTCTTTCTTTTGTAAAGTAAATTTTCTCTTTATTTTCTTTATACCAGAACAGAAAATCTCTTTACATGAATTTTAAAGACTGTATTTATCCTTTTTACCAGCATTGGAGTGACACACATTCGTCATTTATGATAACATAAGATCTCTAAAGTTCTTTTTAGAGCTGAAGTGATGAGCTGATTAATCAATCGACAGACAATTCATCTGCAAATATAATTATGATATATTATATTTCTTAAACATTTTTCCAATCAAAAATACCAAACATTAGCTGGTTCCAGTTTCGCAAATGCAATTATTTAAAGCTTTTATTTGTTACATATGATAGTAAATTGAATAATTGTGGGGGTTTGACTGTTGGTCAGATAAAACAAGCAATCTGAATATGTCACCTTGGTAAAGTCAAACAATTCATCAATTAGTCTACAAAGTTATCGGCAGCTTAATCAATAATGAAAACTGCAGCACAAGTTGACCTTTAAAATAAAGAAAGTCAAATAAATGAAACCAGTGAATATGGAGATATGTGGATGGCCATTATTCTTTACTGTATGTCCAAAGGTCAGAGTCTGACTCACCATAGGTGCTGTCTTCATCCTTGGTTCCATCAATGGTGCCATCAGGCTGCATCTGCAGCTGGAAGCCCTGGCGACTGGAAAGCCGGGTCACAATGCCCTTTAACTGGGGCTCTGAGAGGAGGAGAGATGAGGAGATACATTGATTGCATTCATTCCTTATACTGTCATGTGATCACATGTATCAAATCCAGCAGTCTCCAAGAAGCCGGAAGTGCCAGAGGAGGAGAAGGTGTTTATATTTCCAATCTCTGGGCCTTGAGGGCCCAGTATCGATCCCTGACCCCTGTACATTGTGGCGCACACTGAAAACAAAGAATAATTGACAGATGTAACATGATGCTGAGATAACTCACGCTCTGCTTGAATTCTAAGATCTCCATCAGCTATCACACACACATGCTGCTACACTGAACACTGAACACTTTGCTTCGGGACAATACAAAGTTATTTACATGAGATGTTTGTGGTGTCATGCAACAGGATTAATTTCTGAGCCACTGCCAGAGGAGACTATCCAGAGGGTGACGAATGATGAAGTGATGAAGGACAAGCCTTAGTGATGACTTAGTGATGAGAGAAAATGGTGTTGGATGCTGGTGATGATGGTAATGATGCTGATGGTGATGGTTAAGGTGGTGCTGCAGCCTGTGGCTTTCAGACTTTTCTACCCCCCACTCTCAGACCTGGTGGTCGCCTTCTCTTCCGTTTCTTCCTCGAGCCAAACAATTTCACACGCGAGAACACGTTCAGTTTGCTCGGCTTCTCGTTTGTCCCTTTGCTGTTGCTCGGGCTGCCGCTGCCGCGGCAAGCGTTCGCCTTCTCCCGCTCCCTTGCCTGCCGCTTCTGGCGGATCAGGGAGCTGGCAATAGCCGCTGCCCGGGACATGTTCCCCCGGTGGAGTGAAACAAGGCTGTGCGTCCCGGTTGCAGGGAGGGGCGGTTCGCGGATAAGGCGGTGGGGGTGTGTGGGGTGCGGGGAGGGGGTCTACACCACCCACGGTTCAGTTCGCATCACACACCGGCCGCTGCAGTCTCGCAGATATCCGTGATTTTAAAAAGCGTCCAGAAATATCCATCGGCGCGTCCGGGCGCTTCATGGATGTAGTTAAACAAATCCAATAATCTGCCAGTGAGTGAGCGTTAACGACGCCGCCTCACATGCCCCAAAGGGGTCTGAGTAGCAAAACCTGTCTGCCCCTCCGCCTCACTCTGGTGATTCTTCTGGCCCGTCCCGAGAGAGCGTGGAGGAGGAAGAAGGGGGTTCCTGGGGATCCAGTCCGGGTCCAAGTGGCGAATCAACAGCTTAGAGGCTGGTGCGAACGACACCGGTGGTTGCTGCTGATGATCACTGCAGCTGCAGTTTCTGCTGATGCTCCGCACCGCTCCCCGGGTGATGCTCCGCTCCTCGACGCTGTCCGTGACAGAAATGCAGCAACCGGAATGTTTGTCAATGAAACAGCTCGGGGCTGGTTCAGTGGGAAAGGGATCATGATGCAGCCGTGCCGTTCATAAAACTGCTGCAGCCCTGCCCGCCCCGATGAAGAAGAA